TCCCACCACGTGACTTTGATGCAAATAATTAAGATTAATTTTCTGTAAGTGTCAAGCTTATTTCGTCCTATTTTCTAAAAATAATGCAATAAATATATTTTTTGTATACCTATTTTAAATCTAAAAAAATACATATATTATATTTTAAAAATAATGCGAAATAAGCTTGACACTGACAGAAAATTAACCTTAATTATTTCTATCAAAGTCACGTGGTGGGACTTTGATGTTTAGAGCATAGTATATAGGTACTAAAGGACGTCCACCTACATATCCAACCCCAAAATCACAGCCAACCAAGTCAAAATTGACAATCTTGCCGTTTTTTTTATCACAAAAGAGATTCAAACAGCTCTCACCAACGCTTCCAACCCCGTCAGAGTTAACGCATCAACACCACCCCCTTCCAAACAGACTCCAGTCTCTGATTAGGCAAAGGAGTGCTACAATGCTACAAAACACCATGTCATGTGGGGACACTCAACATCACAATTACCTGTCCTGGCTTTTACTTAGTTAAACTACAAGATCACCACAACAAGAAATGGACTTACAATCTCTAACTTACAAACTGATTACAAAAGCTTCTTGTCCATTATGAAGTCCCTTAACCCTTCCCCCAAAAACATTACTTACCCCCTTCACGGCCCTTTCCATTAAAAAGGTAGAGCTATTCGCAGATATTCTATTTACCCACAACTCTCCCCCTAGCGGAATTTAACTCATTCAAAATTGACAATCTTGACACATTCGTTTAAAAAAGATTAAAACTACTCTCACCAACGCTTCCAACCCCCTCAGAGTTAACGCCACCAACCCCCAACCCCTTCCGAACAGACTAAAGTTTATATCAGGCAGAGGAGTGCCATAAAAAATAAAGCAATAAACACCATGTCCTCCCTGAAACAATCTACATCACAAGTAACTATCGAGGCTCCTACGTAATCAACAACATACTCCCTAACTTGAAAACTGGACAAACAAAACAGCCCCAGAAGAAGACAACATTTGTAAACATGGCAATTACCACGAGGTCTTTAACTCTCCTTAAATTCACCCACTTCCCTACCACTTCGAAATCGGCAGTAGTAACTATGATTCCAAAATAAGGCATCGACCCGTGGATTATAAACACAAAGGCTTTTACAACAAAAAACTTGTATTGCTTGACATTGCCAAAGCCTTCGACAAAGTTTGGCATTTCGGACTGACAGGAAAAATGCTCAAAACAGGGATTAAGAAAGACATGGTCAAATACAAATACAATACAATATTTAGAGATATAAAATTATTATTTATACCTAAACGAGGGCGAGTGAATTACACCACCCTCATTAGCCTTTACTCTGTTTATAAAAGATGCAATAAAAATAATGCACCCTTTGCATTCAAACCAGCAAGCATACCTTCTGGAAAGATCTACTGAATCCTCCCTTCATTCCGTGGTGCGTATAATTGAGAGATCCATGGACAACATGTCCAACCTGGGGATATTCATAGACATACACATACACAAAGCAGATCTGAGTGAGCACGGTGTTCATCCTATGCTTGCACATAGATTAAGCACATGCTACAACGCAGAGCTGTCAGTTTAGGCGATGAAGACTCATACAGAGGAGTGGTAGTCGCCACTACTATGAAATTTGATTATCTTCTAGAATCACTCGACAACAAGATTTTACCACCTTTGGCTTCGCACTTTCATGCTAACGGGAAAAATTGAGAGCACCCTTCGCGATCTGAATCAGCTCTAAACATACTTAAAAATGGTGTAATAGGAATTTCCTCTTTGTAAATCCTGTAGACGGAGTTAATTGTCTTTACCAGAAAAAGAAAACTCGGCTTTCTCAAAATGCCTAAGTTATCTGGAACTTACAAACAACAAGTTAAATACTTGGCAATAATAATAGACAAATAACTTAACTGGGTTAGTGATCTGAAGCACAAAGTTCAGAAGGCCTCCGTGGCCTTCTGGCAGTGTCGGAAAAACGCGAGGACTATCCCCCAAGTTAGTTTTATGGTTATATACGGCAGTCATTTGATCAATGTTGTTTGGTGGGCCAAAATCAAACAGACTACTGTAGGAAAATAAATAGAGCATGTGCAACGGCTTGCATATCTAGCTATTATAGGTGGTAGGCGCACAACTCTAACAGCAGTATGAAAGCGATCTAGAACATTCCCTATTTGAATTTGTTCGTAGAGGTAAATTCACTAAGGCTTACAACCACTAAACTGTGGAAAGTATTAACTCTAGCAAACGTCACACCTGCATCCTGGACAAGAGGGCGTGATTAGATTGTAGGAAGCTATAATTTCAACTCTCCCTATTAGGTGTGGATAAATGGATCGCCAAATACCTCGCCTTATATATCTACCTTCAAGATGGATCCAAAACCGACTCAGACTCTAAAGCGGGAGAATATTGTCAGAACCCATCCATACGTCTCAGCATATCATTGGGTATCTATACGACCAAATTACAGTGTGGAATCACAGGCATACTGGAGGCTGCTTGTAAAATAATAGACCATTATGTAAATGAACAAACAGTAAGTATCCTTTCAGACAGCAGGGCCTTCTTGATGGGCTTGACCACAATATAGTTGACTCGGGGCTGCATTGCTGCCTTGAAAATATTAACAATAAACAATGAACTTGTATGGGTTAAAGGACATAATGGCAATGAAGAAAATGAAAAGGCTGATAAACTTGCAAGCTGCCAGTGCGACTTGAACCTGTCATGGCTCTACAAAATCAACCTTAAAAGTGCACATCAAAAGGCAAACTCATGAGAAACAACTAAAAAGACCTTAAGTTCATGCCGTCAGACCAAAAACAGTCTACAGCTATCTCGTCAAAACCTTTCTGACCTTGTGGAAATCATTACGAGACAATTGTAGACTAAACAAACATTTATACACTATAAGAAAAGTAGACAGTCCTTTTTGCAGAGCCTGTAAGTGAGTGTAATAAACATTGTTTGTGAATGACCAGTTCTTCTAGAATTTTGAAAATCCACCATAGGTGAAGAATGGGTTGATGCAACCAACATTAACTCTATCTCTCCCGTCGTCTTTCTGGATTTCTTTTGTTTAGTCAATCCAGGAAAAATGGATCTTAGAGGTAGTAAAAAGGACCAACTGTGATCCAAGTGCACCCAGAACAAATTTCTTAGCTACACCACTGGCGTGTGAGAAACCAGATCTTTCACAATGATCGCCTCACTTACTGCATGCCAAAAAATGTTCGACTAAAAAAAAAACAAACACTAACCCCTTATTTTATTTTACAGCATTTATTTGTACTAACACACCCCATGACATTTTACTAGTCACTTAACTGGCAATCACCAAATGTAATCACTGATCGCTAACTTTTAATCAATGATCTTTACTTTCCTACAAACAATCACACACGCAGACAATGCTTCTTGTCTAACTCTATAGTTAGTACACGAACATTACCCTGCTAGATAATAGTTCGGCCGCTGGCGGTCCCAATAAATACTCCTCCCCAATAATTAAATCAGACATTACCACACCCATTTGATTTAGTTTTAGGATAAATCAATTTTTTTTCTTAAACCTAGTAAGTAATTTATAAAGCCTACAAAACTAATGTGTGCCTTCTTTTCAAGAGCCAGTTTAAGCTCCTACGTGACCGACTCTGTTCGGACCCATAGTCCATGGAACGCTGCAGCGTTTAAATAAAGCATTCAACTAAAACGCACAGTCACAGTTTTTCAATGTGTATTTAAAAGATTACTTAGCGTCATGAAAACATATATGTACGATGTGTTTTTTAAAGGTGGAGTAGAAAATAGTATATTATTATACGAGAGATAATGCGCATAATCTGTAATACTATAGTTTATCTGCTCCAATTAGTGAATAATTAAATGATTTTTAAAAATAAATAAATAAAATCTGACATCTGTCAGATGGTTAACCTCACTTTCTAAGAATTTTAAATATCATTATAATCGCCGTTTTCTAATTTAAAACCCGATTGCTTCAAATCACTGTTCATAATGAAATTGGCCAATCACTGATCCAACAACGGAAATGAAGAGTATATTATTCCCGTTGTTAGGCGGGGCGATTAAAATCGTTATCATTATAAACCCAAAAACTTAATGTTATGCAATAGGAGTACATAATAGTATATTCTGTAACAAGGCATATTCTGCTTGAGTGAAAAGTTTCACGAGAGTGGAATATGCAATTCAAAATGTGTTTGAGAATTTAATTAAAAGAAAGTGAGGTTGGATCGATCTAAAAATTGTTTAAAAATAAACACAGAGATGTCGCCGCCAGTGTTTATTCCGTCATCCGGTGAAAGAATGAATTCATTTTGTAACACACAAGAAATATATGTAATTCCACATTAAAAAGTGATTTTAGACATATACCTATAACTATAAGTTATAGGTATATGATTTTAGATGGGTTTTATTTCGTAATAGGAGTAGAAAAACTGTTTTAAAATATTAACATGATTTACAATTGTGGAGCAATCAGACAAAAGCAGATAAATCCGTTTTAAGCAGTTTCGAGTTAAAAAAAACCAAAATGGATTTATCAAGTGTTGCTTAAATTGACAGGATTTATCTCCATTTGCTTGAAATAGGAATAAAAAACCGTTTTATCCATTGACCTATACAGGGTGGTCCAGGATTAATCTGACAAATGTTAATGCCATTTAAGTTAATTTAAAATAACAATAATGTGAATTTATATTATTTTCATTGAAACAAGAATTTAAATTGTATTAATTTGAATATATCTGGTTTTGCTTGATGTGTTAGGTCTCGAGGCCGGTATTCTATATCAATTACTTGGTTTGGCTCAATTCTGAGTTCACCAATGGATTAATCTTATCTCGTTTACTTAGTTCATGCCTAACTCATTTTTTTAACAATACCTACTGGATTTATTTGCTTTTGTCTGATTGCTCCAGATTTACTTAATATTATGTCACAATATGTAACTTACCATTATTAACAACGTAATTAATTTTGTAATATTTGCTTTTAATTTCTTTTGCAAATAATTTAATTGATTCTATTAAACTTATATCTAAATTGTATATATCTGCGTTTCCTGTTTTGATTCCTTCCTTTCTAAAAGTCTCTATCATAGATTTTGCTGCCTGGATGTTTCTGCAACCTAAAAATTAAAAAAAAAGTTGATGCTAAAGCGTGGTTGCAACCAAGTAACAATAAATGTTTATAATTATATTTATAGAAATTGATATTATATATAATTATATATTATAATATGTATACATAATAAATTGATATTATACATGTATACATAATAATTAACTTAAAACAATTTTTTATTTTAAAAGATGAAAGAAGAAATATTATTATAATTAAAAATATTCGAATTTAACGTTAATAAATTCTTACCTATAAGAATTGTCATATCACATTTTAGAAACATTTTTACAACTTCTTTACCAATGCCTCTGTTTCCACCTGTAATGACTGCTACTTTTCCTGTCATTAATGGTAAATCTATAAAAAAAGGTTTGTATAATTTTGTAGTTAATAAACTCAAAAATTGTTTTCAACAATGCCTATCTGTCTATTAAAAATTGGCGAAATTATATGAGAAATTATTATATAATTTTTTTTATTATTAATAGCTATAGCTGGATAGTTTGTATACTATCCAATTCAGTTTGGCTAATATGAAAACCAAAATTTCTAGTAACACAAAATAGCCAAGCTTTAGCTAGTTTGTAAACTAACCAACCAATTCTCTGGCTAATTTATTAAAAAAGTGAGGTTACGGCATTGTTTTTCGTTTTGCCGGCTTAACCGGATTTGTTTTGTGCATTTTAATGTTTTTAAAATGAATCATAGGCAAAATTTTAACGCTTCCTTGTTAGAAAACTCAAAAACACAACCCTACCGACCCTGCCCCATTGGTCAAATGCAGTGGCGGCTGGTGGATTTTGGCACTCCCATATCTGAGTTATTAGACATGGGACCCACATCAAATTTATATGAGTTTATAATGACATTATATAAACAAGTTCTGCCCAAGCAGAATTTAAATTAAAGTTTGCGAAAAAAAGTTAGTTTTTAATTGCAACCCCCAGCCTCCTGCCCCTCCAAATTAAGATAATTTAAATTAAAGTGGTACAATATTTAATTCACTGAAGTTTATCGACAAATTTCAAATTTTATTAAAAAAATTCAAAAATTACAGGTTTTATACCATTTCAAATTTTTTTAAATTTAGTAAAAGAAATAATAAAAATTATAAATGATATAAAACCTGTAATTCTTGAATTTTTTTAATAAAATTTGAAATTCGTCGATAAACTTCAGTGAATTAAATATTGTACCAATTTAATTTGAATTATCTTAATTTGGAGGGGCAGGAGGCTGGGGGTTGCACTTAAAAACTAACTTTTTTTCGCAAACTTTAATTTAAATTCTGCTTGCGCAGAACTTGTCTATATAATGTCATTATAAACTCATATAAATTTGATGTGGGTCCCATAACTGTGCCCAAAATCCACCAGCCGCCACTGGTCAAATGGTCAAAAATGAGATAAAAAAACCCAAACCAACCCAAACTCAACAACACAACCCAACCGACCCCGCCCCATTGAGCAAAAAACCCAACTAAAATGGGCAATAGCCAGAGAATTGGTTAGTTAGTTTACAAACTAGCTAAAGCTTGGCTATTTTGTGCTACTAGAAATTTTGGTTTTCATATATGAATAATATATTAGCCAAATTGAATTGGATAGTATACAAACTATCCAGCTATTTTAGTTTCCCTAATAATTTCAAGTAAATTAGCCAAGATCCTTGCTTATTTTGTAAACTAGCCGCTAATTTAGTTGAAAATACATTTTCAATTAAAATGGCTGACAGTTTGGTTAGTTTATAAACTATCCAGCTAGTTTATAAATCATGCAAGTTTGCACATTAGCCGTAACATATATATTAGGGTGAGCCAAAAAAACTAACCTATCGGATTTATGGGTTAAAATGAACCTACATACCGAGCAAAAAATTTCCCTGCAAGGCAAAATTTTTTGCTCAATTTTAAAAGGTGTCGGTGAGCATTCTAAGTTTTCCATTGAAAAAACACGTAAAAAAATCTTTTTTCATTAAAAAGACTATAACTTTTGAACCGTTTGAGATAAAATTTTTTACGTCGCGGATTCTTGTAGAGCATAAAATTTCCCAAGGATCTATACCAGGATTATTTTTTTTATTTCAAAAATTCGTATGTTTGAAAGCTTTGAAAAGTGTAAAAAATCACTAAAACTGCACCCTAATATATATGTATTGGTGGTTTTCCGGTATCTGCTACATTTTGTCGGTTTTTGGTTATGGTTATTTTAAGAACTAAAAACCGACACCACGGAGCAGATCCCGGAAAACCACCAATACATATAACGCCCGTGGATATATATATATATATATATATATATATATATATACATATATATATATATATATATATCAACGAATTTAAGGCAAAACGGCACAAACGCCAAAATAAAAAAAAAATTTAACGCTCTAGCTAAAGAATTTAATTCTCTATCAACCTGTACTTCTAACAATTTTTCGAAAAATTTGGCGCTTGTGCCATTTTGCATTAAACCCGTCGTTATATATGCATTTCCTTTTAAAATATACAACTTTTTTGACTCATTAATGTGCGCTGGAAATGCGTCGGCACAAGTGCGCTTTAAATGCGCCGGCACACGTGCGCTGCATATGAGATGCATATGTAAGCGAATCTGCAAAAAGTAAGCAGACGGAATAAATGGAGGGATATGATTAATATTATGAATGACCAACCCCACAAAGCCAAAGAGTTTTTTTGTTTTTTTTAAAGAATTTTGTTTTAGAATTTTTTTTTTTATTTTTATTTTTTAATATACCTATTCTTGTAAAAGTAAAGTTTGTTTACCTATTTTTTTTCCTTAGGTGCTGCTGGAATAAGGGCTAATTTTCCCCTATTTGCAAAGCAAGTTTGGTGCAATTCATTACCTACCATTTCAGCCACGTAAACTTAAGTATTTTGATTAGCCAAACCAAAGCCTTTAATGCGGGTGGATAATATTTTATTGCATTGCATAAAACATTTTTTCTTTGCACAGGGCGGAAAGTATACTTAAAATCGTTATGTTCACAGTGAGTTTAAGATCACCATTTCAAGCTATAGCTTGAAATGGTGATCTTAAACTCACTGTGAACCTAACGATTTTAAGTAATTTTTATATAGAAAAGGTAACGCGTTTGTTACAATTGCGTTACAATTTAAACACGCCAAAATTGTTAAATATGTCAATAAAACTTTACTTTATAGTCACTATCAAGTTGAGAATACGTACAAAATTATTGAAAATTCCGCCACGGCTTACTCAATATTTCGTATCTACTTTTATAAGGATTTCGTCTCGATTTTACCACGTACTTCAGTTAAGTTTTTGATACGAAAACGAAGCTTAAAGTAAGAGCGGTTTGGCCACTATTTCGTCTACGAATTCGTTATGAAATCGAACTCACGATCACCTCTCGTTAGGTGACGAACTTCACAGTATCAGTAATGCTTTCGTGACGGTGTGCTACATGTTGTCGGTTTTTGGTTATGGTTATTTTAAGAACTAAAAACCGACACCACGGAGCAGATCCCGGAAAACCACCAATACATATAACGCCCGTGGAAACCTAAAACACAATACTTATATATATATATATATATATATATATATATATATATATATACATATATATATATATATCAACGAATTTAAGGCAAAACGGCACAAACGCCAAAAAAAAAAATTTGGCGCTTGTGCCATTTTGCATTAAACCCGTCGTTATATATGCATTTCCTTTTAAAATATACAACTTTTTTGACTCATTAATGTGCGCTGGAAATGCGTCGGCACAAGTGCGCTTTAAATGCGCCGGCACACGTGCGCTGCATATGAGATGCATATGTAAGCGAATCTGTGTAGTGATCTGCTCGCACGCGTGCCGTTTAAAGACGCACGCGTGCACTCACTCTGCGCGCATCGTGACTATAGTCGCGATGTATACATTTTGCTATCTGGGATATTCCGTAAAGTGTTACAGAATGAAATATTCTATCATCTGATGACAGAATGAACACTCGTGGCGACATCTCTGTTTTTAATATCTAACAAATTTTAGACCGATCCAACCTCACTTTCTTCCAATTAAATTATTTTTCTATGGTAGGTATTTTTTGGAAACGTAGAAAAAGTATAGTCTGAACAGTGTTCCCAACTGCAGGGAATTTTCCCTTTTTAGGGAATTTTGGTACCAAAAAGGGAAAAGGGAATTTTTTAGTAAAAATCGTTAAAATTAGGGAATTTTGACCCAAAATAAAAAGAAGTTTGATAACGCAGCCCAAATTAAAATTAGGGAATTTTGACCCAAAATAAAAAGAAGTTTGATAACGCAGCCCAAATTTTGTGGCTAGAAGAAGAAGAAGAACTAACTATATGTCAATTAAATTAAATAAATTTTATTTCATGTTTACCTTTATATTTTAATAATTTATTTGTTAGATGAGGCGTATACTGCAAAACGGCCCAACTGAAAAAAAAATATTTTGTGTTTTTATCTCGAAATATTCCTATAATGCACTTACCGAGTGAGCTAGCCTAATAAAGTGTGTTTTAATATGAATAGTATACTTACTTGAATAGTATACTTACTCTTCTATAGTTACTACTCTGTATATTAAAATACACTCTATTAGGCTAGTTCACTCGTTAAGCGCATAATAGTAATATTTTAAGATAAAAACACAAAATGATTTTTTTTCAGTTAGGCCGATATTGCAGTAAACATAATAAAATTTATTTTAAAAATTGTATTTTTGATATGAAGTCATTTTTCTTGGCAACATTGAATGCAGGGAATTTTGGCATGAAATAGGGAATTTTTGCCATGCAACAAGGGAATTATTACACTGAAAGGTTGGGAACACTGAGTCTGAAACACGTTTGGAATTGCATATTCCGCTCTCGTGAAACCGACAAACTCGCCTTCGGCTCGTGTGACAACTCTTCACTCGAGCTGTATTCCAAACTTGTTACAGAATATACTACCTATTCTCGCATGAAAAATAGGAGAATGGACTTTATGTACAAAAATTAGTAGGTAAGTTTTTTGTGCCCACCCTCTTCCAGAACCTACGAGCCGCCACTGTAAATGCATTAAGGCTTTCTATATGAGCTATTTAATATAAAAATTATTGTACCTAGTAGGTACTACCTACGTAGGTACGCTTGAAACTAAATTATTTTTTGTGGGAATATTTTAGATCTTACCTATCAATTAAATTTATAAATGTTATTCTAATTATGTAAAAACATTTTATTTTCATTTCAATAAGCTTATTAACTAAATAAAAATTTAATGTAAAAATAAACTTACCTGTTTTATTTTTGCTTTTCATTAGGTAGTCCTGTATAACCGCCTTGGAACCCACAGCATTGTACAATAATTCATATTTAGCCTCAGATAATATAATTTTCAAAGGTTTTTTTGATCTTACTATAGAAATAACAGTTATCACGACAATTATACAAAAACCAGCTATAAGAAACATTCTGATATAATTTAGTTTTGTTTACTAAAATTAATAATAAATAACAACACAATGTATAAGAGTTCACCACAGTACGCTTCAAGCTTGGTAGGCAAGTAGGTAGGTACTTTCTTCTTTAGCTTTCTCCAGTCTTAAGAAATACCTATAAACATATGTACATATAAGTAAGTATAGGTAATATGGTTTGTATTAAATAGGTAGATAAACAAGTCAACAATACGGATGTTGCTATTATTATTGAACGTAAATTAAAGTAAAATACGTAGGTATATATACCTATACCTAGTAAAATACATATATGTATTTTACTTATACTATACTAGGTAGGTACTAGGTATGTACGTATACCGTATGTATAAGTGCAGCATTTCAAAATTGCAAATACCTATTTACTGTTTTTAAAATTATTAAAATAGATAGGTACCTACACCTCATATTTGTGTTTTATGTTGAATAGGTACTGACCCTTGGCAATTTAGATTTATATTTGTAAAAGTAGGTAGTTTTTTATAGGTAGGTAGATTTATTTTTATTTGGAAAATAAAAAAAATAGTAGGTTATGGCCGAGCACACATTTCACTGCCGAGGCAATAGCCCAGTGTGCGAAGCAATTAATAATTATCAGCTTATAGGTATTTGTCGCCGGGTTTTATATACCTATTTTTTTTCAAGAATTAATTCAATAATTTCTTATGATTCTGTAAAATCATTTTTAGGTTAGGTTAAACTCCTAAACACAAAACTAGTTTTATGCCAAGGATTTTGTGTAAAATCCTTAGTTTTGTGCACCTAGATAAAAGACACAGAACATAAGATAAAACTTTTATCATAAAAGAGGTCTAGAGTTTAACCTATACAGGTCTTAAAAATTTACATTTCATTTAAGAAAAATGTGAACCAAACCTTATTAGTTTGAAGTGCGACGTTGCCACACATTTTAGACCTAACGTGCTTTTAAATTTTAGTTCGAACGAGTTTAGACCTCATAGTAGAGGATCCCAAGTAAGGTCGACCTTCACCCATCTGCTTACCAGATGAAAATTATATTTTATCAAATAAAATATGTTTCTGAACATAAACCAATAGGGTTGCCATAAAAAATATGATCAAGGCTAGCTATAATAAATAAAAAATTAAAAAAAAATAATTAATTTTTTAAATTTCACCGACTTGCTTGCCAAATGAACGAAATTCCAATGGAAAGCATACAACATACAGAATATGTAACAGCTAGGTTGCCTACCTTTTTCTGGTCCCTATTACCTGGTTGCTTTGTACAGGGTGATCCCCTATAATGTCGCCCCCCTTTAACTTTTTTATTTTAAGTGTCCCAAAAAATTTAAAAGTTTGGTTATGTAGGTACTAAAAAATACTTTTTTTCTACGTATAAAGAAAATTGGAAAATTGACAGTATACAGGGAAAAACAAAAAGTTTATTTTTTTTCAATGGATCACCGTATATATGAATTTATTTTTCGATTCCTTGTAAAATTCTGAGCATAATTTATATAACAAATCATATACCTAAATTCAACCGTTTCTGAAATATTCGCATTCGAAATGTCATCATTAAATGTTTTTTTAAACTGTTAGAAATCGAGAAGCCTCAGTATACCAAAATTTTTATTGAAAATAAATTACTATAGTGACATTATGTCAATAAGTGTTGTTAAATAAGTAAAAATGGCGTACTCAGACAGAGAAAAACAAACTACCCAGATAGCACAAAGAAGTACTGGAAACGTCCTGAGTATATCTTGTATCAGACATTAGTAAGTCCTGAGTACGTCCGAATCAGGTCCTGAACCTTCCGCAGGACGTACCAGGGACATCTGATGTTACCAAATCGTCGGTCCCCAGAACGTCCTAAGTAAGACAACTGGCGGCTAGCCGTACCGATTCCACTTTGATTCCTCGATCCCCGCATGCGCGGTAGTGTTCTGTCACTTTTATTGTTATCGACAATCTTCACGCGGACATTTAATGTAGGGTTTATTATAATAATCTAAGTATAAAATTACTTCTTGCGAAGCTTCGAAACCAATCCAAACTCAACAACCCGACCCAACCGACCCCGCCCCATTGGCCCCCCCCGCCCAATTTTTCAACGAAGGAATATTCATATAATTACATATTATATTATATAACTGTAGCAAAATGAATATTAATGTAAAATTAAATAATAATCCTTTTCGCTATATAAATAAAAAAAAAAAAAAAAGTTGTAGGCGCCAAGAATCGAACCTGGTATCTCTCGCATACAAAGCGGGCGCTCTTCCATCGGAGCTACCGAGCTTATTGAATAATTCCTTTTGTTTTGAAAATAATACCAGTTTACAGTGTGTGACGTGTGAAGCATGCGGGGATCGAGGAATCAAAGTGGAATCGGTACGACTAGCCGCCAGTAGTAAGACATCCTCTAGCCGTCCTGAAATACTTTATTGGGGACTCCCAGCAAACAGAAAAGCGTGATAAACACGTGACATTTTACGTCCATTTTAGACGTCTTTAAGGTACAAAATTGACATGTCTTGGTTCTCAAAAATAATGCTGTTTAACATTAAATGTTAAATTTTATTAAAAGCTTTTGCTAAAAGTAAGTAGTGGGGCCCACTCACAGAACATAAGGGCCCACTGCTTACTATTCGCAGAGTGGGCCACAGGACCAGCTGTGTCCCTTCAAAACTTACAAGCAGAAGCGGTATGGTCAGTAATTTGGCCAGAAGGTAAAAAATTCTTACTTAGAAGCTTAAGGCATTCCACCTTTATATGACTATCTATCGTGCTACAGAGGCGAGAGGTATGCATGGGTTGCCAGTTAGGTACGGAACGCAGTCTTTTGAAAATTTGGCATTTAAGGCTTTTCAGGTTATGTATGTGTCAAAGTATAGTCAATGAAAGAAATAATATTTATAGTGCTAACGCTTATGTTTAAGCGTTAAAAGTTAATATATCTTTATAGTATCACAATAACAATAGTTGGTTTAAGAATATAGGAATATACATAAATACTGCATTTAATGAAATTCTAAAGTGTATGGTGCCAAATAAGTGATATTTTTGTGCATTGGGTCTACATTTCTCCATAAAATAGTTTTAACTACAACACATTTATTTAAAAAAAATCTAACTTCTCTATTATGAAATAAGAATATCTGTATCAAAGGTTGGTTAATGTATTAGAACAAAAAATATCATCTGATTTTGTATTTTAAGGTTAGAAAAATCTATTTTGACCAAAATAAATAAGTGGATTATTTGGAAGAGTGTGTTAATATGGTCATTAATAAATATAGGTATACTATATAATTGTAGAATATGGTTCAAATTAAATTGAAGCTTTTATACAGTATAAATTATACTTCTAATGACAAAACTTGTTCATACCTCTCGGTATACCTACCTAAGTAAAATTATAAGAAAACAAACAATTTTTAGAGAAACTTGCAATGTGAAAATATGTAATACTCCCATGACATGTGATTTATTAAAATTTTTAAAGTTATGATTTTTCGATGTAGATCAAATTCAGTCGAAGCTTTATAACTATTTGTATTGACAAAACTTTATGTATGTACCTACACTTTAAGCTGGATCTTTCAAATAATCCAAAATACTTATTTATTTTGGTAAAAATAAATTTTTCTAACCTTAAAATTACAAAATTAGATGATATTTTTGTTATAAAATAATAACCTACCTTTAATACAGATATACTTATTCCATAATAGAGAAGCTAGATTTTTTTTCAATAATGCTGTTTATTTAAAATTATTTTATGGAGAAAACCCGATATTTGGAACAAATGCACAAAAATATTACTTATTTGGCACCATAGGTACACTTTAGAATTTCATTAAATGCAGTATTTCTATTCCTAAATTCTTATACCAACCATGGTATTGTAATGTCATTGAGTAAAGGTAATTTTATATAGATTTATACATTTTTAACGCCTAAACATAATATTATTTCTTTCGTTGACTATACTTTGACAGATACATAACCTGAAAAGCCTTAAATGACCAAAAACAAAAATTACGTCCTTGGGACGTACCGAGTATATCCGCTTTAATTTTCCTAAATAAGTAAGAGACTGGACGTACCCAAAACTTCCGATATAGGTCTGGGACGTTCGGACCAATGTGGGACCCGAAATGGACGTCCTGGGTACCTCTTGTGCTATCTGGGTATTTCAACTTATTATCTTAAAAATAATTTAAATATTTCAGAAACGGTTGAATTTAGGTATATGGTATGATATATGAAATATGCTTAGAATTTTACAAGGAATCGAAAAATAAATTCATATATAGGGTGATCCATTGAAAAAAATAAACTTTTTGTTTTCCCTGTATACTTATCAATTTTCCAATTTTCTTTATACGTAGAAAAAAAGTATTTTTTAGTTCCTACATAACCACACTTTTAAATTTTTTGGGACACTTAAAATAAAAAAGTTAAAGGGGGGCGACATTATAGGGGATCACCCTGTACAAAGCAACCAGGTAATAGGGACCAGAAAAAGGTAGGCAACCTAGCTGTTACATATTCTGTATGTTGTATGCTTTCCATTGGAATTTCGTTCATTTGGCAAGCAAGTCGGTGAAATTTAAAAAATTAATTATTTTTTTTTAATTTTTTATTTATTATAGCTAGCCTTGATCATATTTTTTATGGCAACCCTATTGGTTTATGTTCAGAAACATATTTTATTTGATAAAATATAATTTTCATCTGGTAAGCAGATGGGTGAAGGTCGACCTTACTTGGGATCTTAGACTATCACGTGTTGCTCCCGTGAAATGGGTGAAGCTCTCCACAGGACACAAGACAATCTGGCAACACTGTGAGCAACTCTTGTCAAACTAAAACATACGCTTCGTGAGACCTAAACACGTAAAGCCTAAATTATAGATTGCCTTCCTTCCTTCCTCCCGTAGTCATGCCCGTACGATTTGTGCGTCTCGTAAAAAGTCAATTTATAGATTTCCGTGTAA